AGTTTGGAGACGGCGGACGGCTGTCCCCGTCTTCCCCCTCGGCACTACCAGGGCTGTGTGGCGCCGAGCGCCTCCGGGGGTCTCCGCCGTTGACAGACGTCCGAGCCGCTCGGCCTTAGCTCGGTGAAGGATGCCGGAGCGGAGCCGCGCTGCCGGCTCCGGATAAGGGACAGCCCCGTCCAGCGCTTGTGCAAGGCAGTGACTATTGCAGACCTCGAGCGTGGGGATTGGCAATGCTTCCTGTGAAGCAAAACGCCTGCCTTATACAACACAATACCTAATAAATCCATAAGTGTGTAGGGTTTTAAATGTTTTTTTTATTTTCAACCTATTTTAAAAACTTTTCTAAGGTCACTCAGCTGCCTAAAGTAATTTCAGTAATTTCCAGGGAATCAGGCTGATTTGAAGTAGCAGAGAATCTGCTCCGATGCAGATCCACAGAAGTGCATGGACACACCAGGAAAAGGGCAGAGTGTACACAAAGCGATGCTCTGCCGAAAACTTCTGTCACAGACCCAACCTACTCTGGTGATGGTGTTCATTGACTTGCACCCAGCGCACACCTTGCTGCTTGCACTAATTGTACAATCGCAGGTACCTCCCGAGTACAGAACAGCGATCTCTGTTTAAAAACATTGCCACCGAAAGGAACGCTTCTCAAGGGCCTACATTATTATTCAAATTGATGCTGAGGATGGTGTAAAGAAGGAAGCACGTTCAACAGCACTTCACTGATCTTTCTGCAGCAACTTATATCAGGCTCATTATGCTGTTTATACAGACACAGTAAGATGCCGTCCCGTTGGTATTACTCTGCTAATTGGAAATACTACTTTCAGAAAGAAAAATAAAATTTTGAAGGCCAAAATGGAAACCTGGTTTTAATAGCTACCACAGCATTCCTTTCTTTACTGAGCTCCGTTGGATTTATCATTATAAATCCATTCTAACCAATCCAAGTACTTTGTACACTACATTTATCAATGTATTTAATCAATACAATACTTTTACATTGCTCTTTTGCTGTCAGGTTTCACAAATAAATACTGCCTCATAGTAATGGAAATAGACTGCATCTGGCATAAACCCACCTGAAATGAATTTGAGGAAGGTTCCAGCCAAGGATGGTTAATGTAAGGAGACAACGCGGCAACTATCTCTCCTTTCCTTACAGTCATCCCAGTGTTTCCCTGTATAGGTTTGGTCCCATAGATTTGTGGCATGTGCTAAACCGGCGGCTTTTTATGGAGTTTGATTAATAGGAAACTGTGTGATCTATATGTTTTTAATAAACACAAAATACCAATTCTGAAGATGGAGACTGGAAAGTACAACGAATAGAAAACAGTGGCAGCTCTGCTTCTGTGTCTTTGTAGACCAGAGATTCATCTGTTTTTCCTGTTCTTTTTTTCTGGTTCAGCGATGGGTAAGCCAAGGATGTCAGCAGTGAATATTTCTGCTGTGATTTCCTTTGGAATGTCGTCTTCAGTCAAAGCTGCTGCACCTGGAGAGCAGTAACAAGGACACAACACACACTGTAGCAGTGTAAAAACAGCTTGCCAGATCAGTAAAATTTATAAGCAGCGATAAGCAGCCAAAATGCTTTTGAAGACGTACAAAGTAACCATGAAAAAGTATTGGATTACTAGCTTGGTACTTTATGCATTCATTTCAGGGGTCGAATCTATCGGACCTGCGAGGCTGTGAGTCTCGCCCTGGGTAGATCCTTACCTCAGGAGAGTTAAGGGGCTAGATGTGCCTTTTACACTGTTGATTTGACGTGATTTTGGGGTCCCAAGGAACACAGGGATTTCAGAGTTGCCTTGCCGTGCTGGGCAGTCCCTTCAGGAGCTGCACCTGCTCCTTGCCAACAGCCCTAACCAGACGGACTGGTGCGGACTGGTGTGGACTGGGATATGAACTGTACAAAAACATGGCACTTCCCAGCAGTTCAGACTGCAATGGGTAACACTGCTTGGCTGAAGTCAACGCTGCAATTTGCTGTTTAGACTGGTGTAGACTGGGACATAAATTGCAGACAAATGTGATTATCAACAGTTCCCTTTCAATAGGCATCGCTGCCCGGATGAAACCAACACTGTCATTTGCATATTACAGGATCTTTTCTGCTGGTGGACTTTAGAGTGTAAACCTTCTCCTGTGTGTTTTCAGTTCCAGTTCCAAGCCAGCTGATGAACGGCAATGTAATCTTGTCAGGTCCCCGTTATATTTCATTGTCCATTTATTTTTAGATACGCCCATGCAATTGCTATATGGATGAAGGACGATCTATGACTATTTTTGCAATCCCGTCTGAGCGTTTTTGACAGCTCTTGGCCTAACAGGGTAATGGGTTTGCAATTTAAATTATTCTGTTTGGGAACTGAAGCGATCCTGCTCCTGTGCTGTGTGGAATGCTAATCCTGTACCTGAGGGATGGCCGGTGTCTGGTTCGGATCCTCCTCCCGCAGAATGCTTGCCCATCAGGGTGGTCAGACACAGCGCCAGCTCATCCTCTGTCATGTGCTCTCCTGTACACAACAGAGTGACACCAGCCTCAGGTTTGGTGTTTTTAGCACAAAAACTGGAAGGCAACTCGAGCAAGAATGGTGTACAAAGGAAATGGGACAGTTTGAAAGAGGATTCAGCTTCTCTGAGATATGGATATACGCATCCCAAATCAAAAATGTGTGAAGAAATTTTGATTGTAAGGAAAATCTTTCTTGCATATTGCATTTTGCGCAAAAAATATTTATCAAAGGGAGAAGTTCTGATCCAGACAGCTTGTTGGGTTACATTGCACTTGCAGGGGTTTGAGCTTTTATTCCCACTGAAGACTTTCTGGCACAGGACAGAGCAGGGTCCATGTCAACCTGTGTTTGTGGCCATTTCCTCAGAGGAGGACGAGGAAGGTGCAGGCAAGACTTGGTCTGGAATAACCTGGGCATGGCACTTGTTCCCAGTCAGTGGCTGGCTCATGCCCTGAAGCATAAGGTTATGGATCTGTTATGAAACTGTTCTATCCAATGTATCTATTTATGGACATTCACACCACCCATACAAATAACTAACCTTTCTCACACTGGTCAAATCCTCGGTTTCCAAGGATCTTTGTGGCAACGAGTTTTACCAGGTGATGTACTGGGTAAAACTGCATTTCCCTTTACCTCTTTTAATGCTTAGCTGCACTAAATGCTCCCTGCTTTTACAGCAGGAGCAAGGCAATAGAAGTTTGTTATTTACCTCTCTATGGCATTGCCATAAGCATTTTCATATACACCTTTACAGGGCTCCCTCTGATTCAGCTGAACTGAACCACCTCCTCTTTTCAGGCTTTCACACACAGATTCAGCCCAGGACTGACCAGTTTCATCCCTTCTTTCTTGGACCCCTTTTTTTCAGTTTTATGCCACCTTTCTGGAGCCTGTGTGACTGGAAGAGAGAACAATGCTCTAGATAAGGGTATAATGGGAGAAGGGTACAATTTGCCAAAATCCATACTCATCGTTTGACAGAGAAGATACTTCGGGTCAGCAGAAATTCCCAGAGCGGGAAAAGAAGTGCAGCTGAGGCAATAGACATGATTATTCAATTTAAAACCCTAAGACAGGTGGCTCCACACGCCTGCCCTGGTTACCAACCTATAGTTCCAGATTAATTTTTTGCTGCAGTGAATACGTTCTGAGATTGAAGGCAGAACTAGCAAGCATAAAACTAATATTAGAAAAGAAATAACTCACCTCTGTGCTGAAGCAGCAACAGTAAGTCTCCTCTGTCAATAACTTTGTCTCCATTCTCATTATCATAACCAAGAACCTGAAATGCTCGTTGTATTTTTGTCATTGACAAGCCAAATGCAGGGCGATGATTTATATAAAGTTTGATAAAATCCTCTAAATTTATTTTTGTCACTTGTTCTCCAGTATCCACATACTTGCTGAATTTTACTTCGTTTATCATTTCTGCAATCTAAAGATCAAGGCAAGACAGATTGTTATGTGTTTTCCTTTTGAAGAGCATTGGGCCAGTTTCTGATCACGTACTGGTACCACAGATGTCATGACCATATCCCAGTAATGAGCTAGCGCTCGGCAGCTGAGCATGGACACGGCTAACGGTTACACACTTCTTGTGACAATATTGGGTAAAGATGGGGGTAGCAGATAGGTAGTCATTTTGGATTTCCTCTATTTGTTTGTGTGATAGGCACTCAGCAGCTGCCACCAGTACCTTTGCTGCAGCTGTGTCCCCAACTCTGGGGACAAGCCACAGAACAGTAAATATTCCGCCCCCCTACAAAAGCGCACGCATGACTGTCCTGACATAACCAGGCTGCACACAGTGTGCACACCCTGGGAGACACCAGCAATCTGTGCCCTGCATGCCGCAGCTGGTGCGGTCCTGCTGCCACACAAGCCAGATCTGAAATGTGCTCAGTGGGGCTGACATCCTTCCCAGCTGAATCGCTCTTCTCTTGGGCAACCAGGCAAGCCCTGGCCGCACTGGGTGGCTGTGGTTCTCCTGAGGTCTGGTGCTGTGTCAGCCTGGTTGGCAGCTGTGCAGATGTGTGTCCCAAAGGCAGGACCCACTCCATGTCCTCATTGTGCTCTGAGAGGCAGCCCCTTGCGGATTCATTGGAGAAGCCCCCGTGCCAACGTGTACCAAGCTGCTGCTTCCTGGGCAGGGAAGCTGATGCAAGATCTCCCCGGGGAGGACTTTGCCTTCAGCCTTGGGCCTTTGTCCTTGTGTCACAAGTTTTTCCACTGAATGAAGCCCAGGAAGAGGGAAATCTCAGCCTTGTATTTTTCCTGTAGCAAATGTCATGCCAGGCAAGAACAGTCCTTTTCCCTCAGCTCTGGCTGCTCTGGAGTTAGATTTTGTATCAGCCCCATTGAACTACAAAAGAAAAACACCAAATCCCCAAAGCTTTGCTAGTCGGCCTGAGCTGCCTTTTCTCTGTCCTGCTTTTCCTTTATTAAAACACTCTAGAGAGAGATGAACTTTCTCTCTGGCTTTTAATACTGTCCTGCCTGCTTTGAGAAGCAGATTGTAGGTTGCCTGGTTTCACAGCAGCCTAGCACATCTGTTTCCAAGCCTAAAATGCTCTTTTCATTTTGATTTGGGGCAGGGGGGGGTTAACAGTTATTTTTCTAGACACATTTCCTGCGGGAATATGTTCTCTCTGTCCCCAAGAGGCGAAAATGTAATGAGCCAAGGAAAATATCTAACAGAGTACGAGGGGATAACACCAGAGCCTGACACACAAGGGCAGAGCAGCCCCGGCTCAGACAAACATTTGCAGGGGCTCCAGAGCACAGCTGTTGGGTGGTGGCTGTGGCAAAGGTCCTGTGTCCCCTCTGCCAGCAGAGTGTGCCTGGACCGATGGGGTGGCCCTGTTGCTCAGCACCATCACAGCACCCTGTGGGGATCCTGTGCAATCAGCAGAGACAAACCCAGCCTCCCCTGCAGAAAGATGAGGGGAACACAGCGAGGTACCGCTTCCCTCGGGAGCGGCTCTCCTGCGCTGAAGGGCTGTAGCTGGTGCAGAGAGATTGTTATTTAAATCTCCTTGCAGCGGATTCAGGGGTTTTTTTTGCTTTAATTACCCTTTTGCCAGGTTACAACATTACAAATGAGGTTTGTATACAATACAAACTGCCTTGCGGAAACAGCCACAAAAGGGGAAGAAGCAGCATTTGTCTTTGTCTGCCGTGAAATTTGAAGCTCAAAAGCTCTTGAGAAATGTTTGATGGGAAGCTCTGCTGCTGCAACCTGAAAGTCAAGCTCAGAGCTCGTTTCTGCAGTTTATCAGTTATGAAAGAGCTTTAGGTTACATGGGAATAGAAGCTGCTGTCTCCATCTAAAATAATTCTTTCAGAAGTCCCAGGCAGAAGAGGAAAAAGAGGCTCTGCAATGTCCTAATGAGTGACTGCATGGAGCTGGACATGTCCACCCATGCTGGTAGCACATCTAGGATGTGCTGGTTGGCCCAGCAACTGTGTGCTGCGTGTAAAAGTAGTGGAAGTCAGGGAGACCAAAGCACGTCACTGCCTGCACAGAAGGTACTCCAGCCCATGGACTTTGGGAAGTTGGAGGCTGCTGCCCTCGGGAGCCAAAGAAAGAGTCATCCCCCAAGCTTTCTCAGTTCACCTTCTGAACTGCAGACTCGTTATGGTTGGAAAAGACCTTTACGATCATCAGGTCCAACCCTTATCTAACTCTACCATGGCCACTTCTAAACCATGTCCCCAAGACCGTACCTACACGGCTTTTAAATACATCAAAGAAGAAGCCCACCTCTGCAGAGGTGCAGGGCACTTGACCTGCATAAGACCCTGAGGCCATCTTTTGTTGAACACTTGTAACCATCAGGCTCCAGGTTTGCTGTGCCCCTGTGCTTGTCCAACTCCGGGGAGGAATCATCACTTTTTGAGGAATTTGCTGCCAGATTCTGACCACTACTGTATTGATGCAGACCAGGTTAAATACATTAAAACCCAGCAAATATACTCCAGAGCCATCCAGCATGACAGTGGTCAGAATCTGGCCCTCGGGAGACTTGGTAAACGCAATCAGTCTTGCTCTTTTTTTTTTTTAAACAACAACAATAAAACCAACTAACCAACCTCTTCCTCTGATGGATAAAATCCCATTGCTCTCATCAGAGAAGGCATTTCCTCCAAGGGAATGTGCGTTGACAACTGTCTGGTGTCCAGCATATCGATACCATAGCTGTGCAGCTGTGCGTAGTAAAAACAGTCTTCCAGTTCCTGCGAGGGATTCAAACGAGATGCTGTAAAGTGCAGACACCAACAGGCGTGGAAGATAAGGCTCCTTTTAAGATTTGCTAACAGGCATATCAATGAGATTGTTGTTAAAAGGCGGGATGGACAAAGAAAATAAAGAAATATCAGGCCTGTATAAATGAATCCTAAACCCCAGCCAGATGTTGCCAGACAGCGTTGACGGTGAGGATAGTTACCCTGAAGAATTCGCCGTCTCTGCCGCCATCCAGCAGGCTGTAGAATGGGACCGAGTCCTCCCCGCCCAGGGAAGCGGCGGCATCCAAGGCACTGGCAGAAGAAGAGGAAAGAAGGTAGAGGAAGGGTTCGTGTGAGGAGAGATTTTGTGTTTCCCTTTCTAGTCATTGTTTGCAGACACTTTCAATAAATAAATAAAATCCCCGGGGCCTCAGATTTCAGGAAAGGAAAGCATTGCCTTAAACCACGTACTATTTTATCATCAGCCTGCACTTCTACAGCATATTTCGTACCCAGATTTTACATACAACAGCACAGTGTGGGAATTAATTATTACTGAATGGTCCTCTTGTTTAGTGGAACGAGCACAGGGCTGGGAGCCAGGAGCTTTTCCATGGATTCGAGCTCGGTGCCTGGCATTTAGCTTTTCTCTTTCCTTATAGAGACACTGAGGGAGATGAATTAGCTAGATCAGCATTTTGAACATGCAGAGAGGGCTGGGGCTTGGTGCTTGCAATAAACCACACAAATCCGAGCTCCCCATCCCTTGATCTGACACATTCCTCCCCAATAACTCAGTGCGGTCCATTACGCTCCTTCCTTTGCTCTAACGTGTGTTGCAGGTGCAGTCTGCATTAAACTCAAAGCATGCGAGTGCCACCTCTTTGTTCCAATTTCATAGGCATTTGGAGCCAAAAGAACCCATTTGGCCTGTGGAGATGAAGTGGGAACCAAGCCTGGCAGCGCAGTCACGGCGCAGGATCACCACAGAGCACCCCATGGCCGGCAGCAGGGCTGCAGCTCTCGTGCACACCTCTGTAGCGCTGCTTCCGCTGGCTTTTTGGTGGTTTTTTTTTTTGCAAGCTTCGTGCTTTTTTCATAATTAAGTTATCTGGGTATTAAACACAGTGGAGATGCACAAGATGCCAGAAGCAGCAATAAAATGATAATTAGCTCATCAAGAGCTTTGCTCTGAAAACAAATTACACAGAAATTCAACGTCGCCTGGACCCTGGCCAACCATTATAAAGAAGGATCATTTATATTCTATTGCCTTCCTTAAAATGTCGCTTATTCTGACCCCCGACTGCTTAAGCCACACAAAGTAGAAAAGAAAATAAATAAGCCCATTGCTTTCCCATGCAGGTTTCTTTTGTTCTGGCACATGGAGGTGAGCTGGCTCAGCACCCTTTGGGCTTTCCTCTGAGAGAGCAGCACCTGCAAGAAAGGTTTCAGGCAGGACCAGCGCATGTCTGAACCATGAAGATGTCCTGGGAAGGTGAGGGCCAACGGTGGTTGCACTCCAAAAAACAGGAGTGAGGGTTAAAATCGGCTCCCATGGAGTTCATTTGCCATAAACTACGAGCTTTGTGCTAGTGAGGTGACAAGCAGGATAAAAAATAACAAGCACAGACTGACAGAGCCCATGCTGTGCTGTCTGTCTATGTGACTCCAACACGGGCTTTCTTTCCAGCCCTTGAAGGGTGAAGCTGCTCTGCCTGGCAGTTTTCAGCCTGCTCCGTTTTGGAGTACACGTGAGTCTACCCCAGGCGCCTGCAGCCCCACTCGGCGGGGCTCGGAGGGGAGAGCCCTCTGCACACATTGCAATGAGCAGCTTTGGTCCTTGACACACAAAGAAGCCGAAATTTATATCCTGCCTTTGCCGCGGTACCCGCCTGCCACGTGGGAGCACGCGCCTGGCACCGCTGCCCGGGAGAGCTGGCAGAGGGAAACCGTTCACTTCGGAGAGGGGCGGGAGAAACCTGGCAGGGTTCAGTCGCTGATGCTCCAGGCCAGAGCCTGGAAATCCTCATTTGGAAAAGCAGCCTCTACTCCTCTACCACCCCATTTACTGTGACCATTTACTCATGTAAGCAAAGCTTTATAGGATTAAGGTGGCTTGTCCTAAATCCAGTCTTCAACTGCAGAGGGGATTTCCTAGCAAATGCTGGCCTGTCCCATTTGGAGAGCAGACACTTTTGCATCAGCAGCCGCCCCATATGCTGCTCCTGCAGCCAGTGCCGCTGCTCTGATCCTGCCTAACTCTGACAATCCCCCATCGCACTGATCAGGTCCTCACAAGCACCAGAAAATCCTCTGCTCATCTTCTTGCATTTGGGTACCATTTCCCAAACTGAAGTATTTTATAGGCCCTCATGTACTGACCTGCAAGGTCTGCTGGTTTAACCTCTGCTGTTGACTATATGGTTACATCACATGGAGAGGAGCAAAACCCCCCTAAAAGTGTGTTCCTGCTGGTTCAGCTACCACCCCACACAGCTGCCTGGGGCCTCATTGCAATCTAGGCTGACCCACTGCCATGCCAGGATCCTCAGTGTGGCCGTGCCCATTATGCTGAGCTGCCTGTTGGTGACGCACCAGGGGTTTTGGAGAGCCTGTGTGGACACAGGGTGTGAGGCCCAACTACCCATCCTTAGGCCAGGTATCCAGAGATGCTGCCAGCCTCGACTCACACTTCTGGCAGTAAGCGGTGGGTCTTGTGCTCACATGAGTGCTGGGACCTGTCCTCCACGCTGCGATTCCCCTTGTAGATGCAGTTTGTTGGCCTTGTCTTGGGCACTTTTAGGACAAAAACCCTATTCTCAGTGTAAATGCTGGGGAACATTTGCTTCAGCTGTGTTGGCCAAGCAGCTGTGGAAAGCTGTAACCAGACTCTTTTCTCCTTCCTGCAGTACTCACTTGAGGTTGACCTCCCATTTCATCACAGTGCAGTCGTTCCCCCCTGCCGTAAAGATGTAGCGTCCATCGTAGGAGCAAGCGAGGTCAGAGACACCGTCCGGGTGGCAGATGAAAGCTGAGGACTTGTGGGGGTTGCCATCAACAGGCAAAATCTGCAAGCCCACCTGTAAGGGAAGAGGACCCTGGGAAGGCTGGGGGTGCTGCAGGAGGGCAGCATGGGGGCAGTGCTGCATCCTCCTTCCGGGAGCTCGCCCAGCTTTCAGGAGGACCAGTCTGCACGTGGTTTTGGCTGCAGTGAAATTCCCCCAGGGACCATCACCCCTATGTGGGGGCTCTTGTCCGGCTGGGGAGGATGGGGCTCCATACCTTGTCCTTTGTAATGTATGCCAGGTAGTGTTTCTGGGGATCTGTAGTGGTTGTTGTTGGGAGGATTTGTATCTTCTCCAATGGGGAGCCGTAGGTTGGCCCCAAAAGGGTCTTTCTAAAGGCAAACAACATTTTCATCCATTTTAGGGCTCACAAAACATTTTCCCTCCCCAAGACACCCCTCGCTACCCCCTCCTTTCAGGAGCTGTAGAGGGTGATAAGGTCTCCCCTCAGCCTCCATTGCTTCAGGCTGAACCCCTCCAGTTCCCACAGCCTCTCCTCACAGGCTCTGTGCTCTGGTCTGGTGCAGAGGTGGGTCTAGACAGTGTTCTGACAGAGAAACCTCTAGATAGTGTTCTCTGGTACTTGTTGGGTCTAGAGCCGGTTCTAGCTCACTTTGAGGGTCTAGACCACGTTCTAGCTTGCTTGTTGGTTCTAGCTCATGTTTGTGGGACACTTGGTTGTTCTGGAGCAGGGTCATGGTTTAGCTGTCTTGTTGGTTCAGGGCCATGGTCTAACTCTAGCTCACTTGGTTCAGGACTGCTGGTTGTTTCAGGACCACTTCTTTGGCTCTGGAGCTGGCTCTAGCTCACCTTGTGGTTCTAGCTCACTTTGTGAGTTGGATGGACATTAGAAAGAGGAGAACATAGAGTCAGGATGGGGCTCCCGGGCAGCGGTAGGCCTGAATCTCTCTCCTACCTGCACATTTTGGTCATCGCGTTGTAGAGCTTCATTTTGTAGCAGTTGTTGGCAGTGAGGATAAAGGACTCAGTGCTGAGCTGTGGGTACCAGGCCAAGCACAGGGGCACGGCATCCTGCTCTACCCGGTCCCTGTGCAAGACCACCAGGTGGTCCTTGCTGCTGCTGTTCAGGTCATATTCAATCTGGAGGAAAGAGAAGGAAACACAGCGACTCCCCTGTGGTCTGCCAGCACCCTGGACCTTGCAGATTAACTAGACGCCCTTTAAACCTTCACATGGACTCACCAGCTGCCGGTCTTCCCCAAGACTCAGGAGCCTGGGCTTGTTGCTGTCCAACTGGACCCCAAAGAGGATGCTCCGGATGGGTTTGCAGTGGGAGTACAGCCCTGCGAGGTGTTCCCAGCATCCACCCCTACTTTGCAGGGCTCTCTTGTAAACAGTCACTGCGTGTTTCTCATCCTAAGATGACAACACAAAAGTCAGTGTGCTGCTGTCCCTGCACATGTCCCTGCCTGGCAGAGGGCAGCTTTGCATGTCCCTGCTGGGCTTGGCTTGGCTCGGCCCTTTTGGTTTTGTGACCCTCCAGGAGGGTTAAAGTCATGGCCAAGGTAAAACTAATGGGTTTGGACAGTACCGCAGTGGTCCTCAGTCTGGGCTGGTGGGCATTCCCTACCAGAGAAGCAGTAGAACAACTTCAGTGACTCCCCAGAAATCCCAAGGAAGGTGCTTCCCACTGCCTGGCATCCATGCATGGAGGGGGAGTCTTTTTCTTTGTACAAATTACCACCAGTTGCTACAACCTCTGTGTCAAACGGCTTCAATGCTGCCTCAACACCTCTCCCCTGAGACATGGGACCACGGGAGCAGCCCCCCTGACGGAGCAGCAGCCCGGAGGAAATCCCTGCTCCAGCCCTTTCTGCAGACGGATGCAGCGCCAAGGCTTGTCACTAAAGTTAGCGATGGGATGCTGCCAGCCGCAGGTCTGTGGAGCGGCTGTGGCTGGTGTCGCTTTTACAGAGTGACTCTTCAAGCCAGGAAAAGCATTTTGGAGCCACAAAGTCCCTGGGGAGGGACAGCCCTCCACAATGTTCACTCAGCCATACTTCACAGGATGGTGGGCAAATCCCAATCCCACCAAAAGCTGCACACGTAAATCACCGAGAGGAAAAAACAAGCTTACAGCAGTGGCGAGGTACGCTGAATTGTGAGAGAAGCTGATGTGAGTCACGGGCCCTCGTGAGAACTTGAACTCTTTGCAGCTGGACTGAAGGGAAATGGCATCGAGGATGTGAACGCTTCCATCAGTAAAACCAGCAGCCAGAAAATAACCTGAGAAGCATGCCAGAAAATGCTCACAATGTGATCGCTCTGCCTGGGAAGCCCAGTGCTTGGCACATGGGGAGGGAGGTCCTGACACCCCAATACCTTCAGGGTCGTAGCACAAGCACTGGATGCCAGCCCCAGCGAATACCCTGCTGACCAGGTACGTGGTCTGCTGGTAGTCCCACACCCTCAGCAGCCCACAGCGACTCCCCACAGCAACGCGTGCCTGCCGGGGGTGACAGGCGATGGCATTCACAGCTCGCTTTGCCTCCTCCATGACTTTTTCAAAGTTTGTCCTGTCTGCCGCAACATGGAGCACGGTTGCATCAGAGGTTGAAAGGATAAAGTTCCTGTTCAGTGCGAGAGAAACAGAATTTAATGAATCAGACTAGCTGGCTCACGTTCCTCCAAGCTATGTTACACATTAATCTCTTTTAGGCAACTTAGTTGGATGATCAGTTATATTTTGCGATATGCAAGATGCAAACACTTCTTGACCTAGAAGGCAGGTGGTGCTTTGTATTCATGGCCTGGTAAATCCCCAGGGGAAGACACTGGAGCAGCTTCCATTTTCTAGTTGGGTAGGCAAGGCGGAAGACGAATGACATCTGGGTAGCTTTTGCTGTTTGCAAGTCACTGGGGTGTGAGACGGACAAATGAGCAATTGAGGGTGCTCTGAATGGTCCTTTCACGCGTCTCCATGCCACCATTGTCAGCGGGTTCACATCGACCGCGCCGCCACGGACAAGGTCAGAGGACAGTCTCAGCCCCGCGCCGCAGACAGAGCGGCACTGAAGGATGCTGTGCCTCTCGCATGGCCTTAGCTGGGCTCTTCAGCCATACCCAACCCCATCAGCATGGCTCAAGGCCCTTTGGTTTTCTGTGCTGCCCAGAGCAGCTGCAAGCGGCAGAAGCTGCAGCAGCGACCCAGGAAGAGACAACAGAGACTGATGGGGAAGCCCAAACCTTTCCCCAGGGCCCTGCTCCAGACTGGAATCTGTCCCACATGGCCCTTTGGAAAACACGTGTTGCTAAGAACAGACATTGCCAGGAAAGCCTTAACAGGAGGGACAGACATATGGTTTGCAGGCTGGATTGAGTCACACAGCAGCTTCATCTGGCCCGCAGACTCCCTGTAAACCCTCAGGCACAGCTACATCACGCAAAGGGGACAGAGAGGGGCCAGACCAGGCTGGGGCTGTCCCAAGCTCTTGAGTCCACCCAGCCCTGGTGCCATCGCTGCTGGGGCAGCCTCTGCAGCTCCATTACCCTGATTAACTTGCCCAGCCATGATAAAATCCAACTGGAAATAGCCATCCACGGGAGGGGTTTATGGGGGGGATTAAGGGGCCCAGCAGGAGCTGGAAGCTTGGCATTAGCAGTGGCTGGTGTGCCGGGTACGTGACAGAGGAGCTGCACACCCTGGGACTGATCATCTCCATGCCTGTGCCATGGCATCACACCAAGTTCAGAATTTAGGGTGTGCTGGAGCCCACCCGGGTTCTGGCAACCACCAAGAGATGCAGGCAGAGAGGAGCTGCCCAGGAGAACCCTCCCTGCTTCTCTCTGGTGGGCAGGTGGGACAAATACCCAAAACGAAAGCCTGTGGAGAAGGGAATGAGGGGGCACATTCCCTCCCTGTCCTGCCTCGAAACCTGGGTATGGGGTTGAAACCTGCTCCAACCACAGCAGAAGCCCACGGAGCAGCTCTCAGCTCACCATCTCCCCAGCTTTCAAGCTGTGGGGTAAATGCAAGAGAAGACCTGGGTTTATAAAGAGGGCTCACTTGGTGCAGAAGGGCTGGCTGCTGGCTGTGCAGGTGGGGGAGGCACCGGGAGGATCAGGAGAGGGTTTGCAGAAGGAGATGGACCGAATGGGACCCACATCGCTGTGGCTGTAGCAGGTGAGGAACTGCAGCTGCCCGTCGTAGAAGTTAACGCACCCTTTCACATCACCAGTTACGATCCAGCTGAAAAGGAAATCTTTTAATAGAGAGCTCCCAAATACATCTTGGGTAGCACCCCAGGGCAGACGCAAATCTCCCCTTTTCTCTGCACAAGTGCATGAGAAGACCCTCAAGCTTGTGCATGTGCAGAAGCCACCAGGCTCTGCTGCGACTCTGCAGCGTCCCCTGCCCCGTCCCCACGGCTGCCGAGGCGTTTGGTGGCTGCTCCCTCTGCCGGTAAAGGCCAGGAGGCCGAGCAAGGCTCATCCACCATCCACCCCGACCATGGCCAGCCCCGCGTCTGAGCTACCCCGGCAGAGCTGGCATTGCATCGCCAGGAGTTTTGCACCTCTTTTCAACCCCAGCCACATTCATCGCTGAACAAAGCCAGGGCAAAAGCTCGTAAATCTACGTCCTTTCCTGCATGGATTCACCTGGTCCTCACACACTGCCAAGTGACTCAAAACTGCAACGCTTGGCCATAGTTTATCAACATCAGCTCTGTGGCTGAAATACCTAGGGGCTGTACCTACAGCTACTGAAAACCGCTGTCCCGTTACCTCTTGACCACCATGAGCACGGTGAGGCTGTTCTTCTGCACAGGCACGGCTTTGGTGGCTGTCATGCTGTGTGGCTTGGCCAGCTGTTCCTTGGAGGGGGTTTTGGGATCAAACGCATCCCACACCACCAGCTTCCCCGCCGAGGTGCACGTCAGAGCTTGCAAGTTGTTGAAATGGAAAACCGACTGGCTGAAGCATCCCACCGCTCTGCCCAAGATCTGCAGAGAGAGCAGCGAGGCTGTGCGTGGGTGCTGGGTGCTGGCTCTTTCCTCCTCAAGCAGAGATGTCCCTGCTTGATCCCTCCACATGGCATCCCCTCTCTGCCCCATGGCAGGACCAACAGAGGCCAGAGCCCCAGGAAGTGCAGTGGGGCATCCCTTGGCCTCAGCTCAGGCAAGCCTGGCTCGTTCCCTCAGGAGACCAAAGGAACTGGATGGGGACACAGACGCTGTTCTTGCTAAAGGGGATGGTACAGGACAGAGGGTGACATGCCGTGGTCCCCCCGGGCTCACCTGCCTGTCCAGGAGGGGGGCACTGTACTGCAAACCAGCATCATCCTGCAGAAAAGGGAGAAAACACTCAGGACAAGCGTTCTGTACCCGTGCTCTGCAGTGTCAGTGCACCCCTGCCCCACTGTCTGGGCAATGACCCCACATGTGGTGGGCAAAGCAGGGGACAGAAAGGCTCCAAGGCTTCCAGAGATCACAAAAAGCCCTCCCTCCACCCGCTTGTCTCCCAGAAGCTGCCCACCAGCACACTGCATCGCTGTCCCTACTTACCCACAGGTAAAATATCACCTGGGTTTTGCTGTTGCTGACAAACTCATAGGGATTTTGGGGGTTAAAAAGAACGTAATCCTGAAAGTGAAAGGTGAGAACCGCATTAACACCAAGCTGAGCAATGCTTTCTGCTTATTCTTTCTTGCAAAACACCTGCTTGTATCCAAAACCCATTTCACCACCTGCATTGAACTAAACACAGAGGCCAATTCCCTGTGAAACACCAGAGCTGTGGACATTCCTCTGTGAGCGGGGATGAACTGGCAGGGCTGGGGGCTTCTCCTGCCATGAGCCTTGGTCAGTGCCAGGGTAGCAGTAGAGGATGTCCCACCAGGGTCCTCTCCATGTCCCATGGCTGTCGGGCAGCGGAGGAGCATCAGTAACTGCCCTGAGATGCTCTGCTGCATTGGGGTGGAGCAGGGATGGGGTGTGATCCTGCCTCCCATCTCCAGCCAGTATCTACCAGCAGCCTCATACTGGGTGGTGCGGGAGGGAGCAGGTGAGGATGGGTCCAGTCCAGTCGCACTCCCCTGCACCCCTTGCCAATGGTCTCTCACCTGATACCCAAACTCTGGCCTCAGCTCCGTGCTGCACACGGGTCTCTCTGTGAGCGATGTCCACTTCCAGACACAAACCCTCTGGCAGAGAAGGGAAAACCAAGCAACATTTGTGGCTTTCTGGGACTCAGGTGAGCCACATTCCCTCCAGCCACAGGGGATGAGGCAGACAGAAAAGACTGGAGCAGGATGAGCCCAATATGGCCTGGCAGCAGAGAGCTTCGTGTCAGGAAATAATGCTAGAAATTGCTTCGGAGTCAGCTTTATCCCAACTTCAGAGCTGTTTTCTCAATATTGTTCCTGTTAATGAAATCCAGGTCTGGCTGCCAATGGCTCAGCAAAACCAAGCCATCGCTCTGCAAACCTGCTCCACCTCTCCTCTGCTCTCCCCATCCAAATGCCTCCTTCCCTGCAGCTGCACTGGGAAAAACTATCCCAAAAAAAAGGAGATATTTTCTTTACCTGCACTGTACCAGCACTAATGGTTGCCAAATACTTCATGTCCTGGGAAATAGCGATAGCACTGACCCCCTCGGGATGGCTCTCAAAGATGGTGTGCACCGGTATCCTACGGAGCAAAGTCCTCATGGGTGCTCATGGCAGCACAGGGTGGGTCATGGCAACTGCTTGGCAAAATCCACAGCACAGGCCATCCCCGTCTGCGAGGACGGGGAACAGCTGACACTGCAGCTGATGTTCAACGTCCTCTCCATCCCTTCCCCCCAAGTAACTGGCTCTGGGAAGCCACCAGTGACCTTTTAAGACAACACCACAGCCTGGTCATGTGATGTACTTAATTTGGGGGAGCTTGGCCCCGTCTCAATGTCCCATGGGTGTGGGTGATACGAGGCTGATGAAGCCCTCAGTTCAGTTTTGGCTCCTTTGCTGCTTTATTCCATCCCTGTGTTTCTCCCGTTTCCCCCTGGGCTGAGACTGTGGTCAATCCTAAGTGATTTCCTGGACACAGGAGGTCTCCAAAGAGGAGGTTCCCAGGATCTTACCCTGAGAAGGAGTCCCAGATAATGACCAGAGCATCCGGTCCTCTGTCAGCAGTGGCGACCCAGCGCCTGTCCTCGCTCACACACAGGCAAGAGATGGCATTGGAGTGGCCCTGGGGAAAGAGCAGCAGCAAAGCATCGCAGAGGCTTCAGACCTGCGGCAAAGACCCCCAACTGCTCCAGCTGTGAGTGCACGGAGGGGAAAGGAGGGAGGCAGAGAGTTCGGGAAAAGGAAGGGGGTGATGGGGAGGCTGTGTACCAGACCTGCAGGTGGTACTGCCGGTTCCCCGGGACGTCGTGGATGACCGCGGTGTGAGAGGCGACATAGAGGAGCAGTCGGTGCTCCCCATCCATCAGGCTGTGCACTGCCAGGTTGCTGTTGTAGCCCAGCGCCCAGGACAGGCTCTGTGGGGAAGAGGCAACTCCTTGCTCTCAGCAGCCAGGACCAAAACAGCCAGAGAAGGTGTGTGGGGCAGTGGAAGGGAGCTGCGCAGGAGCCGGGTGCTGTGCAGGCCGTCGTGGTGGCCCATTGGTACTCACGAGCGGGTGAAGGCTGCTCTGCCGCTCCTCCTGGAAGAGCATCCCTGGCTTGGCTGTCCGCACCAAGCTGGCAGAGCCATCACTCTGGTCGTCCTCCCCGCTCCTCTGCTGCGTGTCCTGCTCCCTGCAGCCTAGGGGAGAGCTGGGAATGGCCCCCTTGGGCTCAGACAGTGGTGGGGGAGGTCCTGGGAGTCCGGCACCCTCCAGGTTTGCTGTCCCAGCAGTGCCCTGGCTCCCAGCCCAGGTAATGGGCAGGGAGCCTGGGATCCCAATCCCTGAAGGAGATGGCAGGGGAACCAGCAGTGCCTCTGCTCCAGCATTTCCTGGTCCTCCTTCCTCCTCCTTGGCAGCAGCGAGGGGCTCCTTGGAAAGGGAGAAAGGTTTCGATGTGCACTGGCTCCACACTGGTCTGTAAGTAGTGGGAATGCACCCCAGCACATCTCAGGTACAACCCACATTGCTTTCAGTATCAGGGTACTCCGCTGCTCCCAAACTGCCTGTGGTGCTGGGGAAAAGTTTCCCACTGGTTGCTACATCTCTTTCTGCACACCTAATCCTGTGCCCTTGCACCTCACAGCATCCCGTGTCCCACCAGCACCACTTGCAGGCAGCTCCTGTCACCTGGGCTAAGGTGTCCGAGTTTCTCCTCCAGAACTAATCTAGAGGTCCTTTGAAGGCAAAGTCTGACCTTTTTGCTGTCCATGCCCCAACTATTCCCCATGCAATGGTTATTAACTGCTGCAACAGGGCACATTGTCACAAGTTAGAGAGGGAATGATGGCAAATTGAAGTTAAAAGCAAGGGAATCGGGTCCTGGGATTGCAAAGGGCTCTACAGCAACCCCAGCTCTGCTGCCAGCACCTCCCACCACGCTACCTGGTGAGCAGATGGAAAGGGAGGGTAAAAACATCCCAAACTTCCTCAGCCCTTCACCAGCCCGTTCATAAACATATTAAAGAGCCCTGAGGTGTTCAAGCTCGCAGCAGTCCCTGGACAGATTTTTCCCCATCTGAGCCCTGGCTGCTCTCATCTTGTTCTTGGGATCCACGTCAGCTTTCACCTCTCCCCGTGGGGATACTCGATTTCCTACAGCAACCGCTCAGGCAAGGTGCAAACCTCTCTGGACGCTGTTCCTGCTCCCGAGGGAGGTGAGAGAAGGTGAGACAGCGTTTCACATTCCTGCCCTCGAGGGAGGTGAGATAGCATTTCAATTGCACAGGGCCCACACCAGGTTCCCTCCTGCTCGCATAGCCCTCAGGCAGCTCAAGCGCTTGGCAAATAGCAGTGTCTGGGCTGAGACCATGCAGGAACGGTGCATCTGCCAATGGGCCCTGCTCTGCCTCCCTGGGACATTTGGGAATCACCACTCGTTGGTCCTAGAGCTGGGGGCAGACCCCACATTGGGCAGGAGCTGCCCTCACCTGCTCGGGCAGCACAGCCGTCCCCTGCGCTGTCTGTCCATCCTGGGATGTCTCCTCAGGCTCTCCACTCACTGCTGCTCTTCCCCTGGTCAGCTCCTCCTGTGTCTCTTCGCTTGAGCCATCCATCCTCACCCTCCTTCAAGGGAATTGGGGCATGGAGATGCTATAAAATACTTCTCCCTCCCAGGGTTTGGCTGCACAGTGACCTGGAATTTGGCACAGCTGGAGGAAACGGCACAGTTGAAACTGCAAAACAGGTCCCAGAGCCCCTTTTCAGCTCCAGTTGCTCTCCCCTCCAGTGCAATCAAGCACAGCACACCCCGGTTACTCCAGCTGAGATCAGGCTCCCTCCCCAGCTCACTGGGGTCACCATGGAGCCATTCCTGAGCCCCCTCCAGGCCTTGGTGCCTCCCCAACTGCCCTGTCCTCCTGCTGCCCCAAGAGACTCCCCTGGGGACCCCCAGTGCTCACCGTGGGGGACTCCACCACTCACTGCTGTACCAGTCCCTGCTTCTGTTTGTGTCTGGCTGCTGTTCCCAGGGCTGCCCCAACGGCTGCCACCAGCGCCAGCCCGGACAGCACTGGGGAAAGGAGGAGGCTTCATGGGGAGACCCTCCTCGTCCCCACCGGCTGCCATGGAGGGGGGGGAGATGACCCCCTGCCCAAAGCGGGAACCTGGTGGTGTGGGGGACGTTCAGCCCCTCACCCTGCTCACACCTAAATCCTGCTCGTGACTGTGGCAAAGTCCCCTTTGGCATCACCAGACCTCTTTGATACCAACCCCTCGCCCTGCCTAGGGAATGGGATGAGGGATCTTTAGCTGATCCCTCTCCAGGGGGTTGTAGGCAGCTCTTGCTGCCTTGGCAACCCTGAGCAGGACAAGCAGAGCCAAAGCAATAAAAACCAGCTTCTAACCACAGCTGGTGCCACCACCACCCCCAGCCCTCTGCCATGATGGCACTTGCACAGGGAAACCAGACTCCAAGGCTCACCCCAAGCTATTGGCTCTGTCGATAATCAGCTCTAAGTGGTCCCAACTGTTGACTTCAGCCTGGCTGCTAAGCTCAAATAATAACAATTTCTAAACCTAATTTGTTCTTCCTTTTTGCCCAGCAAGAGCCTCATACCTGCTGGGAGCAGAAGGGAGTTGTTACCGGGTCACGTTATCTCCTCGGCCTGGAGCAGCTGCTGCACAGAGGCTGCTCATCAAAACACGGCTGTCCTCGGTCCTGTCCACATCCCAACATTTGAACCAGGGGAGTTTCGAGGCCTCGGGAGCAGAGATTTGGTCCTGAAGCCCTGTCTCTGCTTGAGAAAGCAGGGTTGTTCAGCGCATCAGCACCGCACATTGAGTTTGTTGGGAAACGGCGTTTTTCTTTCCAGCAGAGCTTTGAGTGTGGTCTAAGTTCAAACCGTACCTACCTGCAGCGGGTTTTGCCACATAATCTGTGTTTACTTCACTCCCTGGGACTGTTCAGCCCGTTCTAGACAGGGCACGCAGCCAGTGGGGCTGGGTTAAGGATGCACTTCCACAGAGCATTGCAGAGCTGAGAGCCCTCTGAAGTGTGCAGACACTCCCTGAAAGGGAAACAGCTCCCCGAGAGCAGGAATTACCTGGCTGATGGGGCTGGACTGACCTCCCAGACCTCATTTTACGAGCAGCAAAGAGAGCTGGGATTTTTAATAATTTCATCCTGGGAGGCACAAATGCAAAGGCCTGGAAGGACACACATGAAGACTACAGCATATGAAAACCCCTTCTGCAGAAAACAAGGCTCCCAAACCCGATACAACAGGCATTTAAAAAGCAGTTTGCACAAGCCTGTTGCCCCTGTGGCCCCACACACTGAGCCAGCCCTCCTGCAGAACAACCCCACAGGGGTACTCACCCTGTACCGACAGACAGGAACATGGCATCTGCTCTGGGGCTTCCCCATTTCAGAGAGGATCTGCTCTGCTGGGCTGAACGCTGAAACACCAACACTGAGGCATTGAAAGAGTAAACCCGCTCAATTTAACAGAGCCCTGGGTAAGTGATTTTAAAGCCTGGCATTGGGGCCACTTTTTCAGTCTATTTCAGGCCTGATTAGTAACAATTATAACCAAATTACTCATTACGTGATTAGCAACTTATGCCGCAGCCTGCTAACGAAGCGCTGATGAAAGACTTGAACCTTACCTGGGCTTCAGCTTTAGGGGGCATGATTCTGTGTCTGTGCAGATCTGCATTTAACCCACCCAACCTGGCCCACAATTATTGCCCAAAATAATAACTTCCAAAGAACGGAGAGAGCCATTACTCAGTTTTATTGCTTTGGAACAGCATTTTGGAAGTTCAACAGGAAGAAAGCTTACAGCAAGCCAGTCACCCCAGAAACCCCAAATAAACAAAACCAAATGAAAAAGTCACCAAGTTAGGAGTACTTTTATCATGGCCACATAAAATACTACAAGTAGAGAAGTAGAATTATAACCCCTATTCGTTAGCTCATTAACTTGAAATAATTAAGTGTTCAAAAATTTTTTTCATCACTTTTAGTGACTTCAAAGCTTGTCACTGGGAAGATAAAGTATCAAACTTGCAAATTTTCTGACTGTGATCTACTACTGTAGACACCACAGAGTGCTCTGGGATTTTATAAAAATACATAACAAGATGTTCAATGAGGAATTTTGCAGGAATGGGGGGGAGGAATGCTCTGTTATCAACTTAGAGCCTGCATCAAATGAAGTTTGGGTCTCTGTAGCCCAAATCCAACCTGACACAAGGTGCAAGAGGGGAGAAGCCACATCTTGCAACCCTGCAAGCTACTCCTGATGGACCAGTGCAATGCTTAATTGTGGGCAGGCCCTGCTCTGTCGGAACCTCTTCAGACTCCATGAGTCAGACACCCAGAGGTCACAGCCTCCAGGTTTGTTTCAGCAAGAACATGTAGGGAAGATTTCAAACCAGATCAGAGTCCAGAATGCAGTCCTGAGGGACCAGTGCAATGCTTAATTGTGGGCAGGCCCTGCTCTGTCGGAACCTCTTCAGACTCCATGAGTCAGACACCCAGAGGTCACAGCCTCCAGAAGGTTTGTTTCAGCAAGAACACGTAGGGAAGATTTCAAACCAGATCAGAGTCCAGAATGCAGGCACAAGTTTCAGCTTTATTGTTTTCCAAGCAATGGTCATCTTTGCAAGGGAATGATATTGCAGCTGAAAAAGAAGGTAGGAGGAAACTGAGTCTCAGTTCTCAGACAGGCACAGAAGATCAGACATGGGATGAATCAAACCCACCACAACTCCTCCTCTGGCTTCCTCTACCAGATAAACCAGCCACAGAGACCTTCCTCCCTGTGCTCATGTTTGATGCAGCTCCCCACCCCGTATCGCTGTGCAGAACTGCCAGCCTCCTGCTCCCGTCCGTCAGAGCGGCAACACGCAGAGATCAACGCACGGAGCTGGCCCTGCTGCAGGAACCGTGCTCCAAGCTGGGCAAGAGACTTTTCCCTTCCAGTGAGTGAAAGAGCCACTTACCCCAGGAGCCCCTTCCCGGCCCAGCGCTTTGGAGTCAGCCCCACGTGCACTTTTTTGCCGCTGCGGATCACAGTCACGCTCAGGGGTCTCTGAAAGGGAGAAAAAGAAAAAAATATGGCAACTTTCCATCACCAGATCAACTCTCTTCTTCCTTCTTTGGCTGAAGCACCAGAAGAACATTCGGCTCAGGGGAGCTCTTTTCCAGTGGCACCCACTCCCACCCCTGTGGCTGGATCTGAAAGAGAGCATTTGGTGCGCAGACATCTCCAGGAGAGCTCTCACTTCCACTAGAAAGCGCTTGATGGCTGTGGTAGCTTCTCTGGCCAGCCCATGAGGGTGGCACAGCAACGCACCCCGCTGCTGCAGGGAGTCTCCAGGGGAAAACAGACAGCGTGATGCTCACAGCAGAGAGCACACACCTCTGAGCTCTCTTCTATCCAGCATGAATTAGCTCAATACTGTGAGAGAACAGGGCTACTACAGCACAGACCAAACCTGACGCAGCTTCTGACATGGAAATGATGATCCCGGAGATTTAAGTTCCATAGAAAAAGCTGCAGCTAGCAGAGACAGGCAAGAGAATGCAATTAAAGCAGAAATGAGCTCACCCCTTCGCTGTGCTGCACCACTGTGGCGATGTTCTGCAGGGTCTGGAAGTTGTTCACGTTGACGGAACCAAACTCCACAATCTCATCATCAACCTGAAGCCCCTGGACAGAGAGAGAAGGGAGCTGAGCATCTGCCTTCTCTAAAGGCAGGTAATATCTGCCTGCTTGCAGAAGCTACGCTTCTCACCATCCAGGCAACTGAACCACACCACTCCCTCTCCATGTCCTTAGGAAGAAGTAAGTGCTCATTCCTCTGACTTATTTTATGGGAAGAGAAATACTGAGGCTAGAATGGTCTGTGTGGCCTTGCAGGAGCTGAGCAGTGCAATGATACAGCTGAGAAGAGAGTCCTCATCTCATTCCTGCACAGTGACTGGTCTGTTCACAGGACATCCCAGTGTGACAAAAAGGGAAGAGGGGAACCCTAATCAAATTCCCAACTCATTAACAAGAGACAGAGAAAGCCATCTGCTACATTTTCTCTCTGGCTCCAGAAGAAGCCTTCCCCAGAGGCTGTCAGACCCCACTGACTCACCGAGGTGCTCGCAGGGGATCCCGGAGTCACCGCGTTCACTTTGGCAAACGCCTGTGGCAGCCTCTGGTTCTGGCTCGCTGCCTTGGCCAACGCCTCTGCCTCATCCTTGGCCTGCTTCTCCTTCTCCCGGGCGTGCAGTTGGTGAAGAGCTTCCTCCACCTGCTTCATCAGGGCCTTGTGATCGTTCTGCAGACCTGTGGGCGACACCACCAGCACACAGGTGACAGGAGCCAGTTTCACCTGAGGGTTTCGTTGCTCTCCTCTGCGGCTGTGGTGCAGTAAAGGGTATTCTGGGGGCCTCAGACCTCAGCTGTGGCTGCTGAGATCTCTGCTGGTGCATGTGCTGGGTCCTGGTGTCAGCCCAGCTTACGCAGCCCAGCAGATGTTTATTGGTACAAGACAGAGAAAACCACCCTACGTATTTTGGTAAATACACAAGGAAGCAGGGCTCAGAGGCCCATGATCACCTAGAAGTCACTGAGCAGCTGAAGTCTTTTTTCTATCAAGTCACATACTGTTAGGTACGCAGAGCAAAAGGCAGGGCATGGGCTAAGCCTAGGGATAAATAAACACCACGCTTTTTTTCACCCAAAGCTGATTCTACAAACACCACAAAAACGCCTCGCTGCACTTCACAAACCCCAAACGGCTCCACAGCAGAGTCCCAGTGCCACTGTGGTCAGGCAGGCAGTACTGACCACACAGACCCCCACGGACTGCGAGGAGAGAGT